GGGAACTCGGCCGCCGGTAAGTTTTGGTCTGCTGACAGATTTAAGATTCATTCGGGTAATTAAATCCCGACGGCCACAGCCCCCTCTCGAGAAAAAGAAAAAAAGAAGATATTCTTACAAACGACTCTATGAAAAGAGTGCAATTACCTCGTAAGATGGGCCTGTAAAAGGTGAGAGTAGCTTTCCACTTGCCCCCTTTAACGCCATGGATACTCTCAACACATTGAGAAACTTCGTTGAGGATCTGACTGTTAACAGTGCTGCCGGCATTCGGTTGCCAATGCAAAACCCTAGCCAAACAAGCAAACAAGCAAGGAAAACGATAAAAACTAGATCACGAATTAAATCCAGGCGAAAAGGGACGAGAATTTGGGGTGGGGTTTCTGGGTTTTTACCATTTTAGCGGCATACTCCCGGCCGTACGAAAGTCGCGGCGTGAAACGACGGAGGTAAGTCGGAGCAGGTCAAGAACAAGTTACAACTTTACCAGAAAGCCCAATGGAGAGAGTAGAGACGCTTGCCAGCCCAAACTTGAGTACTTGCCATGGCCTTTGGACCCATAGAATTCTTTGGATTTGTTATGTTATGAGATTCAACAATTTTGGTTCCCTCATTAATGGGCAGTGGAGGTGACAATGAACCTCGCTTCCAATTTCCGAAGGGCCACCACTCTGACCATCTTCTTCTACAATGTTACAGTTATTTGTGTCGGTTCTAAAGTTAAAAAACTTACGTTGGAAATCAAGTTCTTGTCATTCCAAACATAGCTCAGCTCAGTGTATCAATTACTTCCAATTTTTCACACCCACTTTATTATACTAAACAAAAGTTCCCCCTTTATCAAAAAAAAAAAAAAAAAAGAAAGAAAGAAAGAATCTCCCTTATTCTTTCTTTCTTGTCCTACACTTACTCCTATATTGCATTGGCACCATTTTAGCATGAAACTACAAACAAGTAAACTGAAAAGGGTCGCAAGCAAAATGAATGGGAACGATTTCGTTGTCAAGAGGAGCAGTGTGAATTAGAAAAGCAAGTTGTCTGTGTTAGAGTGAGGGGCAGAGAAAGTGAGACAGGCGTAGGGTGGCCACCTATTTTCCTCTGTTTTTCAATTCGCCGGCTCAGACGGAGCTCAAAAATAAAAATGGGAAAGAAGGAACATCCCTTCTGTTTTCGAGATGGAAATCAAATGTGTGAGAATGAAATAGAATTGAAGTGAAGTATGTAGCCGACGCTTTTACAGTTGTGAGTAAAGAAAGGGGTCTGGGTGCAGACCATGAAGCCTAGCAAGGTGCTCCACGCCCACTGGGGGCCCTCTCCAGTCTCCAGTCTCCAGTCTCCATTATCATTATTATTATTATTACAAGACAACACACACAGAAGCTTGAAGGAAGCTCAGAACACAGATGCCAGGATACTTACCTTAGCATTTTTATCAGACCTCTCTGACTCGTCATTCATTACCTGACTATTTATAAAGTGAAGCGGATGGCCACACTCACACAGCATTCAAAACACACTTTGGATCCTTTTTTATAGATGGAACCCAACCACGCAGTTCACTGTTCCTGTTCTCTTCAGTCTTCACACACACATGCAAACAAATCCACTTACCCTCCCAGTCCCACCTCATGCAAACAGTTGCATTTCATTTTTCTCGCTTAAGTACATTTTTGGACATCACTCACAAGTCACAAACCCCACCTGGGTGGGGGGTCGTCAAATAAACTAAAATCAAGCAAACCAACTTATTTGTAATGCATTTGGGCAACACCTGGGTCATGGATCCTAAATACAAAGCAAATGCTAAATGCAGAAACCAAGATCTCAAAACCCCAATTCAGTTTTCATTATGCTTATTGGAATTGAAGATGGAGGAGAAGTCATGTTGCAATGAGTTGTTTGAAATAGACATCGAAAGCCGGGTTGCAGAAACTGAGCCAGTATTGGACGACTTATCATCCAAATCAAGCCACGATTCTCTATCTTTCGGAGACCATTCGTCAAAGAAGTGATGCATAATCTTCTGGGGTTCCTCTCTTCCCATCTTATTCTGCATCTCATAGTAATGCTCCTCTTGCTTGAGTTGCTTTGGGGAATCGCCAAAACTCTGCAGCTGCAAGTAAGAAGAGTAGTCCCCTTGTAAAGCAGAGCAGTTCTTGTGTCTGGAGGATGAGGAAGAGCAACTCATTGTCAGAGGAGTAAGCTGCCAGGAATCTTCCAGTGATGAAGCAGAGAAGCCTCTCATGTTCCCAGAATGTTCTTCCGACAGAAAAGGATGCTCATCACCATCTTCCTTCAGCCCATAAACATACCTGTTTCTTCTTCTCAGTTACAAAAAGAGTGAAATCATCATCGCCATCAGACATTGGTCAAAACAAATCTGAGACTTGGTTGTGTATTGTAGTACAAACCTGTAATCTGGGTTGTCGAAAAGCATGGAGGTATTGGAGTTTTGGTGTAGAGCAGAACCAGGGGGCCTTGAAGAAGAAGAACCATGTTGGTAGAGAAAAGGGTGGGGAGAATGAGTATTGAAACAAGAATGGTTATGGTTATGGGGGTCAGAGGGTAAAGAAGAGAGGGCGGAGTTCTGGGTGATGGATGAGATAGCTGGGGTGGATGGATTTGAGTTAAGAGCTGTTGCTGGTGTTGTTGGTGTTGTTGTTGTTGTTGTTTTCAAAACTTCCACAGGCTTTCTTGAACGGTTTTTGCCTCTGTGCATATGTCTCTCGCAGTATTTAGAATCCGGGTATGCCTCTTTGGAGCATCTCCATTTTTTGCCATCCGTTCTTCTGCACCTTCCAGGCTCCGGGTCGATTTTCCTCCCCGAACCCATCTGCAAATAGTTCCATCCAACTGCACACCACCCCAGCCAAGAACAATAATGTTGTTATGGGTGTCGAAATCAAGAAAAACAGAGAAATGGGAAGGAAGGGGAGTGGTTTACCGTCTGGATAGTGCTGAGGGAAAAGCCTAGAAATGAAGGGAGAATCCAGAGAGCTTCTCTTAATGGTGTAGAGCAGATCGGGAGGGACTGGGATGCCGGAGACCATGTACTTGAAGATGAGAGCTTGGTGCTCCAGCTCTTGCCACTGAGCTGCAGTAAATGGGAACCTACTGCTCCTTCCGCTCATTTCTTGCTTATTGCTTCTTGCTTCTTGCTTCTGGAGGAGGGTTTGCTTTGCCTTGTTTATTAAGAGAGGACTGGGAGGAGGGCTTGGGTTTGAGTAGAGTAGGTATATTTATTTCAGGGACCATTGGGGTGCAGAATCTTCTGTGCATGTTTAAAACTAATGGTTCTGATTATAATGCCGGATGCTCACTTCTCTCATATTATCACTGCAACTCTCTGCACCTTCTGCCACCCCTTGTCTTCTGACATCTCTACGGAAATCCATAAAATAAATAATGGAAAACAAAACAAAACAAAGGAAAGTAAACTTATAAGCATGCATCAGACAGACTAAAAAGAGTTGGGAGTCTGAAGCCAAATGCCTGCACCTCAAAAAATACGTACGGTTTAAGCTTTTACTGCAACTACCAACTCTTTTTTCTTTTTCTGTTCATCTACCCCAGAGCTTCAGACTGTATCCCAGTGCCCCCCACTTACCATTTTTCTTTTTCCTTTTTCTGTTTTCCAAACATGCCTCACCGTCTCTTTTTTCGATCCTCATCAAACAACAACTATCCCGTTCGTTTCTTTTCTTCGATTATTGCATCCTTTGCATTTCCTTTGTTGATTCATTTCAAGCTCTTTGTTTTAATATTAAACAGATACTGAGTTGAGTTGCCGTACCAAGTTCGTCGACAGAATAAATTACTGCCTGAACGAGCATTGGAAAAGTAAGCAGGTTTAACCATAGAACATCGGGTCACATTCGTTTTAACGCAAAAGGTTGAACGTTTTCAAGCCCAAACTCTAATTTAGAAAAAGGAAGACAAAACACAGTCTCTCTCTGTAAGTCTGTCTGAAATATGTACGAAACAGGGGAAGAGTTCGAAGCCAAACGGGTCTTTACTGCTTTGTCATTCAGTTCCTGGTCATCCTCAAAATAAAGACAACCAAAACAATGGTAGCTATATGTATAATAAATATCACCAAGATTTGCTCTTTTCCTATCAATTTATTGTCTATGAAATACAGTCCACTTCATCTACATTTCTTGAAATGATTTGAACTGTAAAGTCCCAATGTCGATGAAATGTCTGGGAAACAAAGAAACCAAAGAGTACGAGGAGACATTTCATGCCTAGAAAATTGGAACTTGTAGATTGAAAAAAGAAAAACACCATTTCAAGTAGTATATAAATTATTATACATCATTGAACTTGCGTTCATGTTGCGGCCGGATCATTCCTTCTGGAAGAAAGACAGAACGAGATCTGTATGTACAGAGAACAACTGTGTGTCCACAAAAAGCTGCTCAGCAAAATACAAAGGAAAACAAATCACTTGTTAGCGTGTTTCCAAAAATA